ATATTAAATTAAATTATACTTCTAATAGTGTTTCAAAATTGTAACTTTAGAAATGAGTATAGCAAAACTTCCAACTCTTAGTCAAACTGTTCCTGCTTATGACTATTTATTTGAAACTATCAAAGAATTTCAAATAAAAAATAATCTTTCTTCTGGTATCAATGAGGCTACCAATTTTGCTTTACAAAAATTAGAGGATTATTATTCAACTTCTGATGGACTTGTTTATATAATTGCAACAAGTATAATTATTATTTTTTTTTATAATTATTAACTTTTATTTAAACTTTAATTAATTTATATTTATGCAGTTTTAGATCCTAAATTAAAATTAACATATTATAAAGACAATAATATTGATAGCAAATATATTAGAAGCTATAAACAACAAATAACTAATCTATGGAATGAGAAATATAAACCCATTGGCAACAAAGAAACAGATGAATCCTCACCTAAACTTAATGCTTTATCTACTCATATTTTTAAAAAAAGAAAAATTGTACAAACAGATGAATTGAATTCATATTTAAAAGAACCTCCATCAAATTATGATGTAGATATTTTAACATATTGGAAGGTAATGGTTTAAAATTAAATATTGATATTGAAAATTATTTTTATTATATTATTTAAATTTTATTTATATAGCTTCATCAGTCAGAATATCCTAATCTTGCAAAAATGGCCTATGATTTTTGATCAATTCCTGGTATGTTTTAAATTTATTAAATTAATTTATTATAAATTATTTTTTTAAATAAAATTTTATTTTAAACAGGAACAAGTGTTCCAGTTGAAAGAATATTTTCAGGTGGTACTGATTTAATTGCACAAAGAAAAGGAAGTTTAAATTCTGATACTATAAGAATGTGTATGTGTCTAAAAGGGTAGTTAAAATTAGAAAAAAAATGAAATAAAATATGTAAATTTTATAATATGTATTTTGAAATTAAAAATAAAATAAATGAAATTAAACTTAAATTTTTATGTATAACATTAAATTATAAATGTAATCCTTGTAATAGTTATGTCTTGCATTTTATAATAATACAATTTATTATTAATAATTAAGCAAAAACTCTAACAAAAAAAAAACCTTTGAACCATTTTTGAACTGGTGCAAACTGGTTCAGATCAGTTCGGTTCCAGTTCAGTTCAGATTGAAGTTTTTAATTTC